CCGTAACTAGGTTTGCAAAGCCTCTCGCAGCTGAGCTGCTCGGGCTCTGCCTAGCTCGGCAGCGACCGCTCGGGCCCTGCTTGTGCGCTCTATCGGGCCCTCGCTAAGTTTAGGGTTTAGTGCAGGGCCCTCGGTCATGAGGCTCCAGCACCCATGTCTATGGTCAGCGGCGCTCTCGCCAGATTAGGTTTTAGGCTCTTCTGGGAAGAACCATATATGACAGAGTTTGAGTTTCAGGCTTACCCTACAACTCGAAGGGTTCATACTTTAAGAATTTTGCCAAAGTTCCACACAGTATGAGTCTTCTTGTAGTTTTGTCTAATGCCCTGCCAAGCATACGGGAAGTGGCTGAACTCCAAACAATCCCTCAACTGTGAAGCGCGCAGCTTTCAATTGCGGGTTGTAGTGCCCTCTGTGTTTGCCACTGCATTTGCCAAGCCCAGACTGCCAAAAAACCTAGCTCTGAACCCCGAAATCCAATGAGCCTGAAACCTTCAGCGCTAAGCACTAAACAAAAAAAACGTCGGCCCTAAACCCCGAGCCCTTACGCTTAAACCTTAAACCCTTCTACACCCTCAAGCTTTAGTCGTTCCGAAGGAGCCGGGTTCTTCAGGGTTTAGATGGGTTTAGGGTTTAGGGTTGCAACCAAAACCAGGTTTCCAAATTCCAGCCCCTCCAGCACCCGTAACAAACTGCTCGAGCCGATAAAAATCCCGTACGCAAGCTGCAAAACCCGTCGTGCAAAACCAGGCTTGTTGTTGCCGTCCAACACTTACATTTTCCAGTTGAAAACCTCTTTGTTGCAGCATTACCTGCTTTGAAGCAGGTTTTGGTGGGTGTTGGAAGGTCCTAACTGGTCCCCTGATATGGGCCTCTCCTTGCTTCCTAGATCTCACGATGCGCCCTCAGTCAGTTTATAGGGTTTATGAGCAGTAAGATAAGCATCCAAAATTAAGGGCCTTTACTCTAGGAGGACCCCCCACCCTGTAATCGTGGTAGAATAGAATATAATAGGACCTTGAGTAAACCCTTATTATCCTTATCGCCACTATGGTGGGGGGGGGAGGTCCACCTAACCCCTATACTACAGGGGAGCTATAGTTCCAACTAAGGATTCCTTTGCTTTACCTACCATGAACCCTTACATAGCTCCTATATACCCCAGTTCCCGTTTGATTCAGCATGTTCTGTTGCATTTGATTTTGTAGTACTGTAAATTAAGCTCTACACCCTACATCCCCAAACCCTAAACCTCAGGGGTTCAGGGTTTAGGGTTATTTGTAGTCAGTTTCCCTAAGCTCTAGTCCACCAGTACAATGGGGCTCTCAGGCAACACCATCACTCTGAATTCGGCTGTCGCCGCTTGTGCTGCTCGACACCTTTTGGCACACTCGTGGAGTCCACTTACCTCGAGGGTTTGGGTTCGGGTAGAGGATTTTGAGTTCAGGGTTTCTGGCGTAAGTTTCGGGGCGAAGGGTTTGGGGTTTAAGGTTTAGGCTTTGGAGCGTTTAGAAATCATGTGCTACGTTTTGCTAGATTGCCCATATCCCTAAATATTTATACAAGCAAGAAACCAACGTTGCAAGCAACTGGGGTTTTTGCGGTCACTTAAGTCTTATCCATCGTTTGCCAGATGCAGAACAGACAGCCATATGGACAAGAGCATGGAATGTGAAACGGAAAGTCGGATTCCAAAGGGGCTTATGGAGCTTGAGGTCGTTTTTTCTCTTTCGGATGTTTAGGGTTTAGGGTCTAGGTTGCTTTCAAGAATTAGCAGGCACACTCCTGTTTTTGCGCGCGGGGTCTGGGATTTGAAGGCGGAGCCTGAAGTCAAGTTTCTTAGGTTAGAAATATGGGCTCCCAATATGGCCCATATAGGGCATATGGGAGAGATATTAGTATCCCAGGGTGAAGGGCCCATACCAAGGGCACATACCCTAAACCAAGCCACCACAGCCATTTCTGCAGGTCCGTAAGCCCTAAACCCTTTTCGTAAGCGGCAGGCTGCAGACCTTCCTAGAGGATTCCTAATTATGGTTTAAGATTTTATGGGGGCATAGGGTTTAAGATTTAGGGGTTTGGGGTTTAGGGGTTTAGGGGTTTGGGGGTGTAGGGTTGGGGGGTATAAGGTTTAAGGTTTAGGGGTGGGGTGGAGGGTTTCGGGGTATAGGGTTCAAGGTTAGGGGTTGGGGGTTTAGGGTGTAGAGTTTTGGGTTGGGGGATTTGGGGGGTTTAGGGTTAATGCAAAATGACAGCAGGGTGTCATTTTTTGCCGAGTTCTGGTCAGGCTTGCATGCTGCTGTCGAGCAGTGGTCCTCAAGACTAAGCGCTTCAGCTGGTTTCTGTTGTTGACGTTCTTCCATGTTTACTAGTAGAGAGAAACATTCGGAGTAGTATAGACCATTCTCGATAGCCAGCAAATGAAATGGACCCTCACATTTTCGGCGACTATCTATACATGTATATGCACACGGATAAGTTGTGCGTGATCGTAACTTATACGCGCCACGTCTCCCTAAACCCAAAACCCTACTAACAAGGAAAACAACAAAAGACGATTGCAAAGCCCCCGCAGGCTGCACCCTATACCCAGACCCATGATGAATAATTTCCTTCACTTTAATGGGGATTACAATAGGGATGCTTGAAAGCAAATAGAAACCACTGTATAGTATATTCGGGTTGTATAGGCGTTATGTAGGGATAATGGGATTACAATAATAGGAATCTTAATCTTAAGGCCCTTAAAAGGAGGGCTTATTAATCATGGGTCTATATTAGACCCTCCACCCGAAATCTCGTCCTCTAACTGTGATGGCGTATCTTGTCCTAAGGGTCCAAGGACCCAAATAACAGGGCTTCAGGCCCCAAATTCTATAATGTTAATGGTATTTGGGCCCTAAAACCCTGTTATTTGGGTCCTTGGACCCTTATGGTTGTGTATGACTTTTGTCACCTGAATCATTGTAATTTCCAGGAATCAGAGGACCTAGGCTAGGGTTTCGGGTTTAAGGTGGTGTAAGGCCCCCTAACCCACAACTCAACATCTTACCCCTCTGCGCGCAAATCAGTGACCGCGAACCCCCCCTGGACCCCCCAGACTCAGACCCCCATACCTCTAAACCCTAAACCTTAGATCCCTAAACCCCAACCCCTTTAACCCTGAACCCCTAGAATCCTAAATCCTTAAACACATTACACTTAAACCCTAACCGTCTATACCCCAAATTTCAATTCCAGGACCCTCCTTGTACCCTTAATTGGGGATATATGGTCCCTAATAGTGGGTACTTAGGCCCTAATTGAGGGTAGGAGGGGGGTCTAGGTTCCCAGGAAGCCGTTAGCCAGTGGCTGTGGGTGGTGCAGCTCCTGGATGGCGCAACAACCTCGGAGTCTTGGATTTAAAAAGGGGCGATGAAGGGTTTAGGGTTTAGGGTGTAGCGGTTTAGGGTTTAGGGTTTTAGGGTTTAGGGGTTTGGGGTTTAAGGTTTAGGGGTTTAAGGGTTTAGGGGTTTAGGCTCAGTAGGGATATATAGGGGTTGAAAAGGGATTCTGTCGGTTTAGGTAGGTGTTAGAAGGGGGTTGCACAGGGAGCCTATCCTTGAATTGTTGTTTCTGTGGATATATAGGGTTTCGGGTTTAAGGGTTCAGGGTTTAGAGTTTTGGCTTATGGGCTAAAGTTTAGGAATCACGGTTCAGGGTTGAGGATTAGGGTTTGGGGCTTAGGATTTAGGGTCCAGGCTACGTGCTAGTGGACTCAGGCGCTTGACCTTCACCTTATAGGTGTTTGGTAGGGTCTGCGGGAATAGCAAGAACATGAAGGCTACTAGAGTATTCCAGCATCAGGTTTAGGGGAAGGCGCTGCCGGGATTTAAGACGCCGGGCCAAGACTCTAAACCTTAAACCCTAAACCCTAAACCTACCACTAAACAAAGCTACCAGATTATGGATATGGTTTTTAGGGTTCGCGGTTTCCCGCAAATTAGGGGCACCATTTCATTCTAGGGATCCCAAGAATAGTAAGGGTTTAGGGTTGAGAGTATACTTTTTACTTTGGGGTCAACCCCAAACCCTAAACCCTAGATGGGTTGATCTCAAAATTATGGCCCCTTTTGAATGTAGATCATATTACGGCACCGCATATCTATGGGCACCAAAATGGGACCTCAATTTTCGGAATTTCCCATATACTATTCTGGGAACTACCAATTCAAGAAACCTGGACTGAGCCATGTGGTCCCCTTAGGACTTGTTTTCTCAAGCTGATAGGCAAAAGAGTATCCCCAAACAGGGAATCTCAAGATTTGTTCGCAATGTTTTGAATTTTAGGTCCAGGGGGATTGCAGCAGAATGTGCAGCAGGCTTTCACATCCAGAGTTATCGTGAATCATCATTGAGAGTCTAACGCTTTTACCTGGACTCGAACTCCCCCCTCCCCCAACCCCATCAATCTCGACCTCGGTATGCTATGATCCTGTGTATGCAGACTCCCAAATGTACCCTAAACCCTAAACCCTAAGCAACATTATGGTCCTAGGGTTAAATACACCTTGTGCTAGAAGGCCAGCCACCCAATTGCCAAGTTCCGGGGTGGTAGGCGAAACACATTATACACAGGCTCACGAACCGTGACCCGCCGATTGAGGGTTTAGGGCCCGAGGGTTTGGCTTAGAGTTAGGGTTTAGGGCACCCTAAACCCTGAACCCTAAACCATTCAAAAGGGGTTTAGGGTTTGGCCGAGGACATGACCACCATAGCGTCCGCCCTCTGCGCTGGAGAACAAGGTGTCCATGGGGCCTGTGAGCCATAGTCTAAACTCCTGCAAGAGGGCATATATAGGGGGATTGTATAGGGTTTAGCGTTTGGGGCTTAGGGTTTAGGGTTTAGGGTCTAGACTCCATAAAAGGGGGGTTATATGGTGGATTATATAGGGGAGAATTATAGTGGATATTAAGGGGGATACTATAGGAGTTTAGACTATAGCTCACATGTGTTTCACCTTTGGAAGGTTAGGGTTCGCAGTTTGAGGCTGTGCACGGGACCCCTACTTTTTTATGACCCACTTTCTTCTTATTCCCTGTATATGCAAAATCCCAGCTTCCGTTTCATTTTGCATATTCTTTTCCATTTGACTGTCCATTATTGGGGATGGTATGCCTGAACCCTAGACCCTGCCCACCCACATATCGGGCCCCTAGGACCCTGTTTTGCAGCTGTGTCTTTCGCAGCAAAGGTATTGAAGAGCTCTTCCATCCTGCTTCCAATAAAGTAGTTTCCATGTTCTTTTTCATTCCTTCACTTCCCAGCTAACCATTGGTAAGCCTTTCCACACACAGCCTTTTGCGCCCGAGCCCGCTGGAATGCGCAAGTCCCAGCATTCGGCCACCCTAGCTGGACCCCTACAAGTACGCCCAAAACTATGAAAAGAGGGTTTAGGGCTCAGATTCTTCTACATATGTTTGGGTGGAGGGGGGTAATCTGAATTTTGCAAATTATGGGATGGCCTGCTGGACACTTAGCTTCAGTTCTACTGTAGACACCCAGTCCGTAAACCCATACCTCGAGGCCATAAACTCCTGACTTGGAGGCTCAGAGGGACGTGGTTTAGGGTTGAGGGTTTAGGATCAGGGAGACTTAGTAAGTATACTTAAGAGTCCTGTAAGCCAAAAACGAACCCCAGTCATCCGCATCATTCAGCCACTTACTGAACCCCCCTGACCCCTAAACCCTAAGCCCTAAGCCCTAAACCCTAAACCCTAAACCTGAACTTCGAGCTTCTAGCCCAAAGTCCAAGCCCTCAACACAAGACCCATCTCGGGGAGAATTTGCTGTATCGACAGTTCAGGTATGCCTAGGATGATCCTGAAGCGCCTAAACCCCAAAAGATTTAGGCTTTGGGTTTTTAGGGTTTTAGGGTGTGGGGTTGGGGGTTTTAGGGTTGAGGGTTTTAGGGTTTTTAGGGTTTTAGGGTACCTAAACCCGAAAAGTATGTCAAATAATGACCCTAAACCCATAATAACAGTCATAAAGGCCATTATTTTACATACTTTTTGGGGTCCAGGTAGTCAGTAGCCCCCGCCTCCGAATAAGGAACCCTGCATCGCCCTAGCAATAAATACTCTCAGAATGGTACCATTTTGGGGTTATGTATCATAAGGGGGGGAGGACTATTAAGCCTTCACCCTTTAAGCCTCTTATGAGAGGGGCTTGTACTTATCCGGCTTTTGCCCGAGACGGAAGCCAAAACCGCAGCCAAAGGGAGCTCTCCAAGACAGGATTTAGTGCTTAAGGGTGCTCAAGTGGTCTAGGGTTTAGGGCTTAGGCTCGGAAAGGAGTTCAAGATTACAACAAACACCAAAGAGGAACC